TCGCCCCACCTCTCGCAGAGGATGGCTAGATGGCTATCCTTCTTTGCGGAATATAACTCCGAGGTGAGGTATAAGCCGGGAAAGCAGAATGCTTTGGCTGAAGCGTTGTCACGCAGACCAGACTATGAGCTCTAGGGAGCAAGGGTTTTGAAAAGTCGGACTAAAAATTGTCACAAAGTCTGCGTGCACGATTGCAACAATATTCGTTGAATAACGGATTGCTGTACTATAGCACCGATTCATCGGATACACCACGAATTGTAGTTCCTCATGATGAGAATTTAAAATACCGCATCCTCTATAAGGCGCAAGACACGCCGCTCGGTGGTCATATCGGTCTAGAGAACGCACATTTCTGTGAGTCACCACTATTGGTTGTCCAAGTCGTACAAATGGACGAGCACCTTGTGCGCACGTGTGAGACGTGTCAACAGGTAGAACCCTCTCCAAATGCGGCTGCGCCGCTGGCCAGCTTACCGGTACCCACTGGGTGCTGGCAGTCCATGAGTTTGGAGTTTGTGTTTGGCCTGTTGAAAGATTCGGCGGGTAACACGGGTGTCGTGGTATTCGTCGACCAATTGAGCAAAATGGCTCAATTGGCGGCGGTGCTAGACCCCATCGACGGAGTCGGTACAGCAACGCTGTTTGTAGATCGTGTTTTTCGACATCACGGATCCCAGAGTCGATTGTCTCTGATAGAGACCCCCGTTTCACAGGAAATCTCTGGTCGACTATCTTCAAGGTGCTAGGCACCAAGTTGGATATGTCGACAGCGGATCATCCGTAGACCGATAGTCAAACAGAAAGGGTGTTTCGCATCATCGAAGACGTTCTTCGCTGAGACGCCGAGTCGCTGGAGTGCCATCTTACCACTCGTAGCGTTTGCACTGAACAATGCAGTGCATTCGTCTACCGACTACACGCCGTTCTACGTGAACGGGCTGATTCACCCTCGCCTTCCGCTGACGCCGCTATCTCATGGCTCAGGGAGGGGGAATAGCCGAGTGACTAGCTGATGTCAGGCCCATCATCATCCGTAGAAAAGTCGATGACTTTGTGTCTACAAGAG